GGACCTGGAGCTGGCGGCGCGCATCGGGCAGTCCCTGCTGAAGCAGAACAGGAGCCTGACCGAGCGCAATGAGCTGCTGGAGGAGCAGCTGGAGTTGGCCAAGGAGGAGGTAACAGCTCCTGGGCACAGATCCAGGCCTTGACCTCCTGTGTGCCCCGCCACGGGGGTGGCTGTGGTCCCCTCAGCCGTGCCCTGACGCCCTTTGTCTCTCCAGATTGCGCAGCTGCGTCATGAGGTCTCCATGCGGGATGACCTTCTCCACTTCTACACCACCACGACAGAGGAGAGCGAGCCCACCACCACCACCTCCACACCGTGAGTGGGAGTCCCTCACTGCTGCTCCTGTGGGTTGGGCAGGAGCTATCACCACCAGCAGTGTGGGTGCTCAGTGCCATCCCTGCTGTCCCCAGGCTGCGCCGGCAGGAGTCCTCGCTGTCCCTGCAGCAGTACTTCCAGTACGACACCTTGCAGCAGAAGCTGAAGTGCCTGGAGGAGGAGAACCAGAAGCTCCGCATGGAGGTGAGCAGAGCCAGGTGGTGGATGCCCCTCGGCGCCCAGGGGGACCTGAGCTTCCCCCCAGTGAGGTGAGAGGTCCTGCCCATCACGCTCAGCCCCTCCAACCCTCTCCTCCAGGCCACCAGCATCGCCACCAAGACCTGTCAATACGAGGACCAGGAGCAGCAGCTGATGATCGACTGCGTGGAGCAGTTCTGTACGTGGGGCTGGGGGGTCTGCAGGCAGCTCCCAGTGCCACTGCATGGGCTGGGGCTGGGGGGCCGTGCCCCAGTGGTGACAGACCCTGGCCCTCCTGCAGCCGAAGCGAGCCAGCAGGTCGTTCACCTGTCGGAGGAGCTGGCGCACCGGGCGGAGGACGCGGCGCGGCAGCAGGAGGAGATCACCCAGCTCCTGGCGCAGGTGGCGGACCTGCAGCAGAAGTGCCGCACGGTGAGGGTCCCCTGCCCGTGCCGGGGGGTTGGGGGAAGGGGGTGCGGGCACAGCGCCCTGACGTGCCTGCTCCTGCCCGCAGTACGGCTCCGAGGTGGAGGAGCTCCAGCAGCACCTGACCGCGGCGAAGGAGGTGCAGCAGCAGCTCCGGATGGAGGTGAGGGCCGTGGGTGCCCCGGCTGGTGGGGGGATCCTGCCAGCTGCCACCAGAGCCATGCCCGAGCTGTGCCCCTGTCCCCGCAGCTGCGGGACCTGCAGGAGAAGTACGCGGAGTGTGGTGGGATGCTGCAGGAAGCGCAGGAGGAGGTGAAGAGCCTGCGGAGCCGCAGCCTGCCCAACAGCACCGTGAGCCACTACAGCGCGGCCAGTCTGCTGCCCGTGGTGAGTGTGCGGGATGGGGGACGGTGGGGGTGGGTGTTGCCGCTCTCCCCTCTACTGACACTGTATCCTCCCTGTATCCAGGACTCGCTGGCGGCTGAGATCAAGGGCATGATGAGGAAGAGGACTGACAGCTCCTCCTCGGACTACAGGTGAGCGCTGGCACCAGTGGCTCGTGGTGTGCCATGGGACGGGGGTCTCAGGGGGGCCTGGCTCACCCCCACCCGCTTCCTGCCCGCAGGAGTTACCTGCGTGTCTTCGAGACGGTGAAGGCAGTGAACCAGGCAGCCAAAGCCAAGTCTTGCTTGGAGTCTCCCCAGCACGTGCCAGGCTCCAAGCAGTTGTCAGCCACCCACTCTGGAGGGGCCAGCACCCCCCACATCAGCTGCTCCGGCTCGGAGGGTGCCCGGTGAGTGCCGGAGGGGTTAACTGGGGCAGGGAGGGCAGGATCCAGCACAGCCCCTGGGGTGTGGTGTGGGACCACGGCCCTGGGCACCCCAACACTGTGCCTGCCAGCAGGACCGAGGGGTCTGGCGGGGCTCCCCGGGCAGCCCCAGGCCGGCAGGACCTGGAGGCGGCGGTGCAGCGGCTGTCAGCGCGCCAGCAGAGCCACTCCTCCGAGGAGTGCTCCTTCTTTGAGGCCGAGCGGGAGCGCAAGCTCTGGCGCCTGAGGGACGGGGTGAACTCCAGCGGCGGCCTCACCCCCAACGAGAGCATCGTCTCCACTGGAACCAGCCAGTCCAGGGGCTCGGAGCTCACTGCCAGCTCCACCTTTTCCCTCGGCTCCCTCACCTACCTGCCCGACAAGCTGCAGATCGTGAAGCCACTGGAAGGTGAGGGGCAGAGGGGGTGGCAGAGGTGGAGGTGCCGTGACGGTCCAAGGACACCAGCTGAGCCCCCTCCCTGCCTGTGTCCCATCCCCAGGCTCTGTGACGCTCCACCACTGGCAGCAGCTGGCACAGCCCAACCTGGGCGGGATCCTGGTGCCCCGTCCGGGGGTGCTCACCAAAGACTTTAGGCAGCTGGACATCGACCTGGAGGAGGTGTACAGCCTCAATGACCTGGAGGAGGATGACGTGGACGCCGGCTCCTTCCAGTTGCTCCCTACCTCAACACCCGCCAAAGCCAAGGAGCGCCCCAGGGGTGAGCGCAGGGCGAGGGGATGGAGGGGACGCGGTCCCTGGGACGGCCCTCTCCTCCTGCACAGGCTTCCCCTCGCTCCCCCCTGCGCTCTCCCCTCTTGCAGCAGCCTGTCCCTGCCACCCCTTTGTCCCTGTGGGGACACTCTGCCTGCAGCTGCACCAGGGCCTTTCTCCAGCAGCTGCCTCAGCGGGGTGAGCCCTCTCTGTCACCCCGGTGTGCCCCTGCTGGCCCCCAGCTGTGAGGAGGGGGCAGGTCTGGGACAGACGGCATCTCCTGGTCCCGCCTGTGCTCGCAGCCCCCTCTGAGCAGGCACCAGACCCCAGTGCTGCTGGAGCTGTGCCATGCATGGCGCTCCCGGCCCAGCTTCGGCTGTCCCGCCTGCCCCCCAGCTCTCTGCCTCTTGTCCTGCCCCGCCACCCTCCCCGTTGACCCCTTGTCTCCTGTCCCTTCCAGTGTTCCTCTCTGTTAGCAACCTACCCCAGACCCCGTCTACCTTCACCATCACCACCTGCCACATCCTCCACCCCACCACTGCGATCACCACGGTGACACCCAGGTAAGGCGCGTGGCCCCTCCCACCGCCTGCGCTGCCTGCACCCCCCACCCCGCTGTGCCCCCTGCCTCTCACCCCGTGGCTCTCACCCCCTGCCTGGCTCCCTGCAGCTCGAGGAAGCCACGGGCTGGGGGCCACCCACAGCCCCTGATGCTCTGAGAGATGCCGGCACTTGAAGCATCCCCAAATCTGGCTGCTGTGCCTGGAGATGTGCACCCCCAGGAGGGGCTGGGACCAGCTTTTCTCCCCCCACCACTCCCTCCTGTGCTGCAACACCCTGAGGGGATGGAGAGCCTCCCTGGGGAGCAGCACCCCCAGCACAGAGCAGCTGTGTGCTCTAGGGAATGGACACAGCTGGGCAGCAGCCAGGACATTTCCCCAGCTGGATACTGGGCTGACCCTTCATTAATGAGCACCAGTGATTAGCCCTAATGAGCCCCCTCAGGCTCCTTGGGGTTCGGCGTGAGCTGGAGTTCACTGTTAGACAAAACCCTGCACGTCTGGAAATTGCCTGTGGAGCAGGGACTGTGTCCCAGTCCTTCCTGGCTGCTGAGGAGCTGGGGGGGCATGGCCACAGCGCCCCTGTACCCAGCCCTGAGCTTTGGGGTACTGGGCAGTTTGCAGCACGGGGGTGTCCCATAGCCCAAGGCTCATTAGGTGAAGGAGGAAAGGGGGTTCTGCTCTGCCTGAGGCTCCTCCTGCCCCCTGCAGCAGCATCCTCTGGGCCAGGGTCCCCCACTGACCCCTCACTTCTGCTCTCTCTTCCCCTCCAGTCTGTTTCATGCCGTTGTGCCTTCTTGTGGGCCCTCTGAGGGGCTGAGCCTCAGCAGCCCCTCGCCAGAACAGTCTTCCCCCCACGCTGGTGCTTGGCCCTGGACCCCCGAGCACCCCCATGGGACTCTTCAGGCTTTTGCTGGGGCGAGATTCCCACTCGGCACCAGGGACTGGATTGTGGTGGGCCCCCTCACTCTGCTCCCAGGACTCCCAGCATGCTGAGCCCCGGCCCTCCCCTGTGCCCCGGGGGCAGGATGGACCCCTGCCCAGGAGCAGCATCTTCAGCTGGAACCTGGTGGAGAAGCTGCGGCGCCTGGGCCTGGACAAGGTGGTGGCCAGAGGGGAGATGTCCCATGCCCAGGGAGGGCACAGGGGCGCCCGGGGCACCCTGACGTGACACTGCTGCAGAGCCTCTCCAGGCTCGTGGTGAGACACATCCTCTTCCTTGCCCATCCACGGGGCAGTGGAGACAGGACAAGCTTCAGCCTCCTCTCCAGGTGCTGCCCAGGACCGGTGGCACTCCCGGCACTTGTGGAGTGCAAGGACAGAACCCAGCGCTGCTCCCCATGTGTGGGGGGATGCAGGAGGTGCCGACTGACCCCGTCCCTGCTGGGGGTAATGGACCCTTCACAGGAGCCAGTTTCTGGCAATAAAAACTGTTCCTGCTTCTGCTGAGCCTGTTCGAGGAGCGAGGGGCAGCTCAGCCCTTCGGGGCTCTCCAGACGCTGCAGCAAAGGACGATGCTCAGGTGGGTCCTGGGGGAAGCTGCTTGTGCCAGGGGGAGACCCCTGCCAAGCCAGGCTGGGCCCCTGGCCAGCACCTGGACTGGCTTTTAAAGGGAATGGTGGTTTAACTCTTTCTCACTCACTGAGTAGCAATAGTAGCAGCACCCGCAGCTCGGGGTGTTAATTGGGGTGCCGCTGTTGCTCCCACTGGCCACATCCCTCCCCCCGGGCTGTGCCCTGTCCCCTGGCAAATAAATGTGAAGTCACAGAGCAGTCTGTGTGTGCTGTGTCTGCTGCCATGGGTGGTTGGGTCTCTGCCCCTGCGCTTCCCTGCGGGGCTGGGCATGAATGCCCCCTGCCCACCCTCCCAAGCTCTCCCCAGCACAGCCCTGGGTGCAGCAGCCATAGTGCCAGAGTTTTATTGCAGGAAGGGACACGCACCGAGCGCGAGGGTGCCCTGGGAGGGCAGCCCAGCCCCGAGGTTACACGGCATCGGCCGCGTCCTCGGCGCTGCGGCGCCCGAAGTCCATCCAGTCGGGGTAGTAGTGCTCGTGCAGGGCCTCCATGTCCTCGTGCACGAAGCCCTTGTGGTTGTTCAGCTCTGCCAGGGCAAGGGTGGCAGTCAGAGCTGGCACAGCGGGGCTGGGCTGTGCCCCCTGGGAGGGCTGCCCACCCCGAGCTCCCGGTACCTGTGAGGACGTGGGGCAGGAACTGGGACAGGAGGTGCTGCTGCTCCTGGGACAGGTGCTCGGGCCAGCCTCGCCGCACCAGGCTTGGGGGCTGCTGGTGGGGGTCCCCCATGGCGCCCGGTGCCTCGGCCGCGGGCCGGCACAGGCAGGAGGTCACGGCGATGGTGAGGACGAGGCCGAAGCTCAGCGTCACCTTCATGGCTGGGGAGAGACCGAGCAGGGAGGGGAGCGGAGGGGCTGTGGCCCCCCAACGGGATGTGCTCAACCCTGCAGGGAGGGGTGATCTGGGCGCTCCTCCAGGGGTATGGCCAGTTCACAGTCCCCTCTGTTCCTCCCTGTGGGTCCCCAAGGCCCCTCCATCCCTCCCATCTGCTCCTCGAGTCTTCTCCATCCCTGACTCCCAGCTGGTCCCCAAGCTGCCAAGTGGCAGAGCCCTGTGGGACTCACCTGCAGGCTCCGGGGCTTGGTGGGTGTCCTGGCAGGGTGTCTGGGTGGGTGCCTCTATCCAGGGTCTCTGTGGCTCAGCCCTGCTTTTAAAGGCGCTGCTGCGGCTGCCCCACCCTGGGGCGGCTCCACACCCACCCACCCCCCACGGGGGGGGCCCCCACGGGCTCCTGTGTGTGCTCACAGACACACAGACTGACACACTGGGTGCTTACACACACACACAGATATATATACACACATTTTTATATATATATATAAGGTACATTAATATGTAGACAGATCTATGTTTATACATATTTGTTTGTGTGTATATATATGTATACACGTGTACATACATGTGTCTGCGTGTGTTTGTGTCTGTGTGTGAGGCCCTTCACACAGCCCCCATTCTGCAGCCCTGGGTTTCTCCCTGCACCCCAAAAAGCTGTGGGGTGTCATAGGAAGAGTGGGCACCGCTCGCTGCCAGAGCCCCCCGAAAATCCCCATCTGCTCCTCGTTCGATATCGACGGTTCCTCCTGCCCATATTGACCACCCTTCCCAGTGTATTTTAGAGACCATTTGTCTCCCTCCTTCAATAAACCTCCGAGTGACATCGTGGGCTGGGCCATGTCCCTGTCCCGTGTCCCCAGCGATCCCTGTCGGAGCTCCTCAAACACCCCGAAACAAATGGCCTTTGGATGGCGGGGAGGCAGCGGCACCCGCCGCCCTCGTGGCCATCGATCGCTCGCTCCACCGAGCACTTCTCACGAGGAACAAACAAATTGTTTTCCAATTCCTGGCTTTTAATGGCTCAATCTGGACCAAATGAGCCGTCAGGGTGACGGGGATGGCGGCCACTCCCTTCGGGGTCACGGGCTCGGCAGCACCTTGACGCAGGTTTGTGGGCAGACCCGCTGCATCCAAGCGCAGAGCCAGCAGGGAGAAATCCAGGCTGGACGTAATTCGACATCCCTTGCACAGGCAGGGGCTCAGGAATTTTTGGAGCAGCATCAGAGCAGAGATTGGGCTGTGTCAGGCTGTGAGCTGGAACACACTCCCGGTGCGAGCAGCGGCCTTGGAGCTGCCGGGACCTGCTCTTGTTGTGCAGGGCTGGACATGAGGTACAGGCAGGGCTGGAGGTCACCCTGAGGTACAGGCAGGGCTGGAGGTCGCCTCCCTCCTCGGTGCACTCAGTGTGTTGCACAGTTTGCAGCAATTTGGTTTCCAAGAGCAAAGTCTCCCGCGGAAGTGGCAGCGGCGCGAACGAACCCTGCGCTCCTGTGGGACGTGGGGGTCGCTGTGGCAGTGGGTGAATGGCTGTGACCTGCTGTGGGAGCTGCCAGGAGCAGGTGCCCAGGGTGGCAGAGCCATCCCCTCCTCCCCACAGCAGTTTTTGGGAAGCACAAGTGCCGGTCCTGCCCACAGGACTTACGAGAACACAAATAGGTTTGAGGGCTGCTGTGCCTGGGCAGGGAATGACTCAGCACCCACCCCTTCCTAGGCTTTTCCCTCAGCTTGGGCAGGAACAGCAGGGACAGCACCAATGGAGCTCAGGTTCCCCTTCCCACAGCGGGTCAGAGTGGGGAGGCACCCCCAGACTCCCCAGTTACACCAACCAGGCCCTGTTGGGAGAGGGGAAGGTGCTCAGGCTCCAGGGAGTGATGGAAGCCACCACGCACAGGCTTTTGAAAACCAGCTTTATTTAAATAAAGACTTTAAATACATTACATAAAACATTAAAAACGAAACCAAAGCCGTTGTTACTGCACAGGGCCGGAGGCAGCAGCGCTATGGACACAAAGCTCTGCAGCTCCAGCCACAAGGCTGCTCCTCGTGTTAGTCCAGAACTCATCCCTTGTCACAAGTTTAACCCACCTCGGGGCTCGCGGGGACCCGAGCTGCATCCACGTCACTCTTCTGCCACTCTTGTTCCAAGCCAAGCTTCCCCAAATCCCTGTGCCAGGGGGAGCCAGCACTGCCCAGCAGAGCAGTGCCATGTCCCCGTGCCCCAGCCGAGCTCGGGGCCCGGGCTGGGCAGGACACGATTCCCATGGTCCGGGCTGGAAGTGCAGCTGGACTGAGGAGCCATCCGGGCAGGCCGAGTCCCTGGGCTGAGCTGGGAACAGCTGGGTACCTTTGGCTCCAGGCTGGAGCTCTGGGAAATGAGGGACAGGCAGACAGGATAGCATGGGCTCGTGTCAGTTTATTACATCACCAGTTACACCAGTCCAGACTCAACAGTGGACCCAAGATCGTTACATTACACAAACCGGCTGCTTTTAAACTTATGACAAGGGACAGGTGGGAATTTCATGGTAAGGAAATCTTCTTGCATAAAGCTCCAGAGGCCCACAGGCACTTAAAACCCGTGGACTTTCAGCTGGTCGTCTTTAGCCAGTCCAATCTGCAAGACAGAAAACCCATTTACGGTCCAGAGCGAGGCCTCTGTGCTCCCCCACGTCCCCCGTGCCCAGAACTGCCCCATTCTCAGTGAGGGAAGGGGAAACCCTGTTGTGGGGAGTTTGCCTCGAGCAAAGATTTAAAGCAGAAGAGGAAGAATCATCGCAGAGAGGGCTGGGCTGGAATAGAGTGTGAGGTTCCAACCCCCCTACCCGGGGCAGGGACAGAGCTCCCTCCCCCTCCCACCCTGCTGCGTGTTTATTATTTAATCTCGTGTTTAATTTCACGAGCAGCACTCCGGGGGTGTCCTACCTCCACGAGGAACTGGCAGATGTTCTTGCGCTGGTCACCCTGCAACTGAATCACTTCTCCATACTCGGGGTGCTCAATTACAGTTCCATTGCAGGCAAATTTCTGCAGCAAGGAGACAGAAAAGCCTCCTTAGCACCTCATAAACCTCCCCCAGCCACGCCTGGCCGCCCTCCCAGCCCCTCCACACCCACCCACCCACCTTCTTGAAGGCCTTCACCAGTTTCTTTTTATCGTAGTCATCCGCGATGCCCTGGACTGTGGTGAGGGTCTTCCTGCCGTTGCGCTGCTGGATCCTTATATGGATGTAGTCCTCAGTGCCGGCCGGGAGCAGGTCATCACCCTTACTTGCATCCGCAAAGGGGTCTGCGGGGCCAGACCCCAAACACGCCGTCAGGACCCGCCCCGCCGCGCCCCATTGGTCGCCGCGCACGTCCGTCACAGAAGGAGCGCGCCCCATTGGCCGCCGCGCACGTCCATCACCCGCCGGACACGCCCCGCCCCCGCCCCACAGCGCTTGTCAATCACGAGTGGACCCCGCCCACGCTCCGCACCCCATTGGCCGCCGCGCCTGCCCATCATGCTGAGGCCCCGCCCTTGCCCTCTCCCCTTCCCTCCCTCCCCCCCCGCGGCTGACGCAACCGGGCCCGGAATAGCAACTGCGCCACGGGGCGGGGTCGGGGCGGGGCCCGCGCGCTCCCCCGGCCCCGCCGCACAAAAGGGGGCCTCACCGAAGGGCTGGAGGTTCTGGATAGCGGACATACGATACGCTTCCCTTCCCTCGGCGGAGGCGGCGGCGGCGGCGGCGGCGGTGGGGGCGGCTGTGGCGGCGGGAGCGGCTCTGGGCGGAGGATGCTCTCGCGGCGGCGGCTCGAGGCGCTGTCAGGGGGGCGGGACCGCCGCCGCCCGCTTTTATACGGCCGCCGCGTGACGCCAGCGCGCACGGCGGGCGAGGGCGGCGATTGGCCGGCGCGCGGGGGACGTCAGCGCGCACGGGGGCGCGCGAGGGGGGGCCGGCGGCGCGCGGGGCGGCGCGTGCGCAGTGCGTGGGGGGGACCAGGCCCCGACCGGGACCCCCAGGATCCCCCAACCCCTCCGGACCCCCGCCCCAAACCCCAAACCCCCTTGGGAACCCCCAAAATACCCCTGGGAGCACCCAACTCCCCACCCGGGATCACTAACCCCCACATGAACCTCAAAATCCCACCCCCAGGAGCCCCCAAAATCCCCAGAACCCCCAGAAACCTCCCAATTCCCCGTGTTAGCCCCACCACCAAGACCCTCTCAGGACTATCCAGAATCCCCCCCCCGTTGGAACCCAAAAACCCCTCCAAACCCCCTTCGTGCATCCTAAATCTCCTTGGGACCCTTGAACCCCCCCCCAAAATCTCCTTGGGACCCCCCCCCAGCCTGGACCTGTTTCCTGCGGGTCCTGCACCGGCCTCAGGGTTCCTGTGGCTTCTCAGGGTGTTTGCTCGGCCGCCCTCACGGCCCTGGGTGCACAATGTGACCCCCCAGCCCGGGATGACAGCGCTGTGCCATGCCCAGTGTGACCCCCCCCACACAGTTTTGGGGTTGTCACCGGCTGTATCCCACGTGCAGGCAGCCCAGGATGCCGCTCCCAGGGAGATTCTCCAAGGACACGTGGTCCTGGAGCGGGACTTGGGCCTCTGCTGCCAAGGGGGAAACGCTGAAGGTGTCCCCGAAACCTGCCAGGAGAGGAAGGGGTTTCTCTTTAAATGTGTGAAAACGGCCCCCCTGGCACTCGAGTCCCAATTTGGCGGCCCGGAGCCTGGCTCTTGGTGTTGGGATTGAGCTGTGCAATGTGGGCATTCCATGGGCAAACCCCCAGCCTGGCGGGTGCATCCCCAGCGCCTCAGCCCAGCGTGGGGGGCTGCTGGCACAGGGGACACCACATCCCGCTCGGAGCAGGCGCTAAAAATACCTCCAGACTCCAGATACTGAAGGACAGTAAATCCCCTGCACAGTTACTCTCCTCCGGGAGCGGGTTCAGAGCCGCACACGGAGCGGGAATGTCACCCCTGGGGACCGTGGGCCTGTGG